TTCTTTAGACATTATCTATGGCAGACAATGCCTGGCTGCAAAGGCTCATTTATGTTGGTAAGAATAAGCAATGGGCCTTTATTGATATTTTAAGCGCATTATACGACAGGTGATGGTAAAGTTAGTTGGGTAATGACAACACCTGCGGCGTTTGTAGATGAGATGATTTGAGTCTGTCTGACGAGACCGTGAAGAGAGGAAAAAAAAAAAAAAAAAGATCCGCTTTTGTGTATGCAGTGCACATTGCATCTTCCAGAATTGCCTCGCTACGAGATTTTTATTTTGTGTGTTTGGAAAGAGTTCATTTTTTGGTGCGTCCTACTGCATGTTTATATTTCTGCGATTTGAATTTAATTAATGAGGATGGGAAGCAGCTGTGAGGAAGAGGCTGTGGGCACTGGGTAGCTCGGATGATTTGGGGAATTAGAACAGGAACCTGTTAACTTTTCAAGGCCAAGCACATCAATAGCGGTGATGTTTGGCTAATGATTCGCAACACCTGTACCTTGATGTAAAGTTCGAGTGACTGTCTTGTTTCCCATCTCCCTAAATGAATATATTTTTTTTCCCCCCTCCTGCGATAGATCGTTGCATGTTCAAATGCGGGCTACCAGCCAAGCGCCAGCTTTTTATCTTCTATTACGGTGACACTTTACTGCAGTTGAGTGTCTTTTTCACAGCTAATGACTAAATATATCTAATCATAGATTATTCAGCGTTTATCCAGCGCTTCAGTGCCAGGTAGCCTATGCATAAGGAGGTTTCACCTACATTAATACGCCAAGCACACATAATGCCACATTATCCAAATGTCAACAGCCTGTGCAGTTTTTTTTGTTTTTCTTTTACAGTTCAGAAACTACTGCGATAATTTAATTTGAGTTTATGTGACATGTTGCTTTTTGTCATTATGCTAGATTGTTGCTGAAAGAATATAAAAAAGATACTGGCCACTGGAGTTCAAATGTTTTTGAATTTTAAAGTGGTTGTAAACCTCAGACATGAAATAGGAACAAAGCAGATCCTTCTATAGAGTGTACTTGTCTCAAGAGCACTAGGTGTCATTTCTGTCTGCTACTTTATTCCTCTGCTATAAGTATGAAGCACTGCTGACAAGTTTTCCTGACACCAAGAGAAAAATGGTGACAGGGGAGGGACCTTCAGCAGATTGACAGCCTCAGCTCTGTTCCTGTGTGCTGTGTGAAGGAGGGTTTGTCTCTTTCCTCCAATCAGCTCTCAGAGCTCTCCTCGCTGAGCTCTGCAGAGTGTAATTTTAGTTCTCTGCCCCCTTTTTTCTTAACTTTCAGACACACCTTATAGATTCTGCATTTTAAATGCCTGTAGAGAAGAGAAGACTGCAGATAGGCAGGTACAACTTATGTAGGATGATTTGTTTCATCTCTGTGTATCACATGAGGCCAGTCACTTCACTGGGTATATGTAAGGGTTTAGAACCACTTTAAGCTAAACCCCAACCTGTTTTGTACTGTTCATGTATACACTTCATATGGGGTGCCTTTATTTTGAAGTCCTAGTGCAGAGTTAGTGTCCTCATTTTTCAAGTTTACAATTACTGGAGTATCCTTAGGCTCACCCTGTCCAAGTTCTACAAATCCCCCCCCCCCCCCCCCCCCCCACTGACTCACATATACACAGGCATACCTCGGTTTACAAACGCCTCGGTTAACGTAATTTTCGGTTTACGAATGAAAATCCATTGAAAATAATGGCTCGGTTTATGATTTTTTTTTGCAATATGAACAGATTAATTGGTTTTCAATGCATTTACAAATTTTTTTGAATCATGTCCCTGTACAGTACTATGCCTTCAAAGTGCACTTTATAAAGAGTTTTAAACAGATAAGACTTTTTTTTACTTTTTTCTGACCTCTGATATGGATTAATAGGTTTTCAATGCATTTACAAATTTTTTTTAATCATGTCCCTTTATGCCTTTAAAGTGCACTTTATAAAGAGTTTTGAAATGCATTTATGAATTAATTATTAATCATGTCCCTGTACAGTATTTATGCCTTTAAAGTGTACTTTATAAAGAGTTTTGAACAGATAAATTACTTTTTTTTTACTTTTTTCTGACCTCCGAAACGGATTAATTGGTTTTCAATGCATTCCTATTGGAAACCGCATTTTGGTTTACAAATTTTTTGCAATATGAAAAGTCCCGTAGAACGAATTAAATTTGTAAACCGAGGTCAGCTCATGGGACCTCTTGGCAATAGGGGATCATGGGGCCCCTGTGTCCTTGTACCAGGGGCATCTCAGTGCCTGAGTTTCCAAATGGTCAGTCCGTCCCTGACCAAGGTACGCCTGTATATATATTTCACATAAATTGGTTGAAAGGCTCACGGTTTTTTTACCTGTGTGCAGCAGCCCCCCCCCCCCATCCCCCCTTAATACTTACCTGAGCCCCCTCTCGATCCAGCAATGTATACAAGAGCAGCTGCTCTCCTGGGTCTCTCCATTCTCATTGACTGAGACAGTGAGCCAATAAGGAGAGAGAGGGGAGGGTCAAGTCGCAGCTCTGCGTGTAAATGGACATGCAGAGCAGTAACTTGGGAGCAAGCATGCCTGGGTGCTCTCCCAAAGCAAGCTGCTTGATCTGGGGGCAGGAGGGAAGGACCAGGAGCACTGTCAGGGGACCCAGAAGAGGAGGATAGGGGCTGCTCTGTGCAAAATCACTGCACAGAGCAGGCAAGTAAAACATGTTTGTTATTTTTTTTTTTTAATTGCCTATAATATCAATTTAAAACAAAAATTAAACCATGTTCCCAGGTCTTCTAGAGTGACATTGAAGCCTCAATTCACATGGCCTGCAGATGTCAAAGGCTCAGGACAATGGAATGTTTTAAGGGGTACTGTAAACACTAAGTGGGAGAATTGACATAGACTACATAGTCCTGATGGTCCTTTTGGTGTACTCCAGATTCTACATTGCTTGTTACAAAGTAGAAGTATAGGCCTCTGTGCTATTCCAAATTACTCTTTCTTGCAAAACATAAAAGAATGTAAAGAAATACATGTACAACTGATTAAAAGAAAGAGTAATTTGCAAATGAATGGATTAACATGTTTCTTGGACTTTTCATATATATATATATATATATATATATATATATATATATATATATATATATATATATATATAATTTATTTTTTTTTTTTTAATGGAATGTAGTTGAGGTTCAGGTCAGGTTGTCCTGTATTATATAAACCAGTGCAATTGGGAGTTATGACCCCTATACCGTTAATAATCTTATTTATTTCAGAAGCAAGAACATCCTCAGTTGTTTCTCCCTTCATGTGTTTTTTCAATTACAAGATTCTATCTATTAATCATGTTTTTTAAAAAACGTACTGCACTTGAAGAAAAAGGGCCCATGTAAACAGTGGAAACTATAAAGGAATGGCTTTTAGTTGCATTCCCGAGGAAGGTTCCTGAATTGATTTCATGAGTTCATCAGGTTAATATTGATAAGGTTGCAGGTGTCCAATTCTTCACAGCCATAATGACAATACCGAGCACTTAAACCATTAGATTGTCGCATTACAGTAAAATTATTAGCTCTTGGTCTAAATTAATGCTTCTTTTTCAGTGTTTAGTCTTCACTGTACCTCATTTGTCTTTTTCTCCATGAACCTGCAGTTTACAGGATAGTAAAAAGATCTATCTTTCGCCTTAAGTGAGAGAGGAACGCTTGCTCAAAAATTCTATCCCATGACATTAGGTGACCCGATTCATCTGTGCCTCTTATGACACCATGAGAAATGTTTTTCCATCATAAATTATGCAATATTTCTGCAACACGATTAGTGCTCATATGGTTTTTATTTAAAGGCAAAACCCTAAAAAACAGGGATATCTCAGTGTTGCATGTTTGCGGGTAAATGGAAATATTTATTGACCTCTATAGCTAAAGAACCCACATGATAAGATATTCCCACCAGAATTCCAAATTACACCAGAATCCCATCACCATTAGGGATCGTTCACATCACACAACCTGCATTAATATATTATGCATGTGCACTGTAATTGTGTTCTACCATGTGCGGTGTTGTTAAAATGCACCGTAGCGCTTTTTTTTTCTTCTTTTTGCTTAAAGCGGAGTTCCACCCAAAAGGGGAAGTTCCGCTTTAAAGATTGGTCCCACACTCCCCATTAAGGATTGGCACCTTTGGGGAGTGGGTACCCAAATTTCACAGGTATCCACTCCCACTTCCGCTGCGATCGCCTAGGCGATCGAAAGCAGAAGTTGTCCTCTTACCCTCCATCCCCGAAGTCTTGTGGGACACGTGACAGGTCCCAGAAGACAACAGGGCCATTCCGGAAGTGCAGCGCTACTCGCACATGCACAGTGGGCACCCAGCTGTGAAGCCGCAAGCTGTCACAGGTGCCCACACTGAAGATGCCGGCGCCTGGAATACAGGACGGCCGGTGAAACGGGCTGCGGCGTGGGCAATGTGGGATCATGGGACAGGTAAGTGGCTGTTTTTTAAAAGTCAGCAGCTACAGTTTGCTCTGCATAGAAACCACTCAGCTTCCAGGTTTTATTTCCAATTGAACAAGCAGGGGCGGACTGACAACTCATGGGGCCCCTGGGCAATAGGGGATAATGGGGCCCCTGTGTCCTTGCCCACACTCAAAAAAAAGCTTATAAAAAAAGGTACCAGGGGCATTTTATGGGGCCCCCTACTGACCCTGGGCCCTCGGGCAGTGCTCGAGTGCTCGAATGGTCAGTCTGCCCCTGCTTGTGACCTCCATCAGTGTCCAGCAGAGTACTGGTTAAAGCTTGTAGGAAGAGTTTTCTTTTCTGCTCTAGGAGGATGCAGAACCCATGACCTCTATCTGGACAGTGCTGATTGGCCCTGTGCTGATCACATGCACTCTCCCAAAAAAAAAAAAAAAACCTCTCTGGCAATACACACCAAACTGAGCATGTGCAGAGTGACTCCACAAAATTTGTCTTATCAGCAGACTTATCTCTTACCTCTTAAGGGAGGCACTAGAAGAAGGGGAGGATCAGAGACGACAGGATCAAACAGCATTTTTACACAAGGCAGAGTATTTACTGCACATACAGATTTTACTGTTGTGGGTTTAGTAACACATTGATACGCAGATCCATTTATAATGGATTTATAATTTTATTTTAAATAATTAGCACTTCTGCCTGGCAGTACTAGGGTCGTTGGTTTGAATCCCAGTCACGGCACCACCTGCCTGGAGTTTGCATGTTCTCCCTGTGTCTGCGTGGGTTTCCTCCGGGTACTCCGGTTTCCTCCCACCTCCAAAGACATGCTGGTATGTTAATTGGATCCTGTCTAAATTGTCCCTAGTATGTGTATGTATGAATGTAAGTTAGGGACCTTAGATTGTACGCCACTTGAGGGTTAGGGACTGATGTGAATGTACAATATATATGTAAAGCACTGTGTAAATTGACAGCGCTATATAAGTATCTGAAATAAATAATTTTAGAGGTAATATTTTAAAAAAATGATATACTGTACATGTAAGCATACGTCAACATGAGCCATTTATTTGTCCAAAAGCAAAATAAAATAAGCAACCGTCTAAACATTTTGGCAAAGAATGCTTTTTAAATTATATTTATTTTGTGGAAAAATGAGATACTCTATACCGCCAAGAAAAGGATGCCAAATGTCCCATTCACACAGGTAAATGGGTTAAACAAATCAGCTACAGATTCTGAAAATGAACTTAATATAGTTCAGAAATGTTATGAATTAAAAATAAGTATACGATAATACCATAATAAGATGCACTTGGGACACTGCACTGTAATTCTTCCTTCTAGCAGGATTTCAGGATTAAATGCATTATAATCAAAATATACATTTTCCAATATAACTGTTTTATTTGTCTACTTTTACTGTAGTGTTAAAAGGGTTTCCTACCCTGTCCCCTTCTGCTTGTAAAAAATACTTACTGTCAAGTGAAATGATGTCTGCACATGTTCATTTAACTCTGATCTCCAGGCAGGTATAAAAGACATAAACTATAGCAGCTTTATATTCATAAATACATTATTAAATGTAGTATTTTTTATTGCAAGCAGTGAAAGTACCTGAATTCGACTTGTTAAAAATGTCTTGAAATCCCAGCAGAGCTTAGCTCATATTGAAAGTGGGAGGGGCAGCACAAGAAGCCAATCAGTCGCACTGCAGTGCTTATGTACCTACATGGGAAATACTGATAGGAGGAGACAGCGCCTCGTTGGGCACCAAGTGTGGGTCATATAGGAGGATGACCCCGGGGTAGGTTCTTCTGGGCTACCCTAGGCACCTTGAACAGGGCCTCTGTCTTTACAAACGGAGTATCTTTACTTCGTGTTGCACACTGTGTACAAATGAACCAATAAACCAAACTCCAGTTAACTCTTTTGGACCCCATGTCTATGTATACCTTCACTAAATCATAGTTGGATTTAGGAGGGACACACTGAGCCTATGCCCACTCCACCTGTCCTGTCCTATCTCCACTACCTCACTCCCAGTAATGGAATGGGGCCCCGCTGTGTGCGTAGCGTGGGCTCTATGTGTGCACTCTATTAACGCTTGCTCTTCTGTATCTGTAGAAACAGATACAACACCTCCTGCACTCGGAGATCAGCAGAGGACCGATGGACCAATGTAAAGTATGATATGTAGACGTTCCTCCAGGACCGATCAAAGGTTGTGCAGCTCTAATACAAAGGTGGGAAAGCTTGATATAAACTGTAGTTAGGAACAAAAAACAGAGTGCACCAACCTTGCGCATTACCTCAGTAAGCAATTAGTAAATTTTTTGATATAGGAAATATAATCACAAGAGTTGCATCTTTCATCCTGAGAATCTCCCCTCCTGATGGGATTTGCACGTGTTTCCTAACCCAGGGACTCCGTTTTAGGATTTGATATGCCTGTTTTATTGCTACTCTTGTGAGTATATTTCCTATATCAATAAATCTACTAAATGCTTATTGAGGTAATGCACAAGGTTGGTGCGCTCTGTTTTTTGTTTTTCTGTATCTGTGCTCAGGCTAAGGACCTCTGCGATAGAAGGGGATGAAAGAAAGAGCACATAAACCTTGCACATTACCTCAATAATTAGTGACTAATTTTATTTTATTTAGGAAATATACTCACAAAAGTGATGGTAAAACAGGCATAAGTTAACCATAATCCACACAGGGTTACAGGTAAATCCAAAGGGGGGGATAAAAGCTAACACGTTTCGAAGGGTGCTCACTTGTTCATCAGAGCTGGGTTTGGCAGATAGAAACTTCAGTATAGCAGAGTTTCCATGGCAAGGAGACATTCAGCCACCGAGTGTCAGTATTACAGCATTTCAGCCTGTTTAGTTTAGGGACTAAACAGTCTGAAATGCTGTAATACTGGCACTCAGTGGCTGAATGTCTCCTTGCCATGGAAACTCTGCTATACTGAAGTTTCTATCTGCCAAACCCAGCTCTGATGAACAAGTGAGCACCCTTCGAAACGCGTTAGCTTTTATCCCCCCTTTGTATTTACCTGTAACCCTGTGTGGATTATGGTTAACTTATGCCTGTTTTACCATCACTTTTGTGAGTATATTTCCTAAATAAAATAAAATTAGTCACTATTTATTGAGGTAATGCGCAAGGTTTGTGCGCTCTTCCTTTCATCCCCTTCTACAGTTTCATCAAGCTTCCCCAGCTTCATGATAGAGCTGCACAACCTCTGATCACCAGCGGATGAACACGCTGTTTGTTACTAACGCCCGTTTGATCTGAGTCTTTGAGCGCAGGAGATAATGGATCTTTAAGGACCTCTGTGGTGCTGATCTGCTCTCACTGCTATGGGAGACAGATCTGCTCACGGAGAGAGTGACAACAATTCCACTTGCAAGAAGCTATCCCACCCATCGCTTGTACACCCTTCAGGACAGGCTGCTTACTAAACTTTCGCTACTCTTGGTAACCACTTGCTTTACTCTATACCATGATACTCCTGTAGTGCTGTCTTCATACCCTAATGTGTTTTAATTGACCCACACTGTAGACTAAATGTAGAATGTGCAGTTACTTGCATTACCCCCGTTTAGTATCTCCTTTAGTATCTTCAGACCAGGCAAAGGACAAAGTTACAAAACTTTACTGAAATAATTTAGACATTACAAATAATAGAGGTAACGGTCTTTCCTTAACATCCCTAATCCCTGTCTATGGCTTGTGGCTGCCCCATCATACCTGCACAAGATAAAGTTCTTTATGGCAGACTTCCAGATCTGGTGTACTCAAGCATTCTGTAGCTCTCAGTGGTTATGTGCTCTGTAGAGATTCTTTCATACAAGTGTGCTCAGGCAACAGCAGAAGGTGGTGTAAATGGACCCCAGAGACTGCAACAACTTAGGTGAGGTGCATGAGTATGTTGGCTCTGAATCAGAACCCTGTCCCATTTTAATATCATACAGGACCAGTGGGCAGGAACCCAAGAAAATCTGCTAAGAAAAAAAATGGAAAATATGTTAATACTAACCCTCCCAGCTGGGGCAGCATAAAGCTCAACTTGCCTACATAGCAGGTGCAGAACTTAGAAATATAGTTATACGAGCCAAAGTCAGCAACAACTGAGCAGAGAAGGGACAGGTTCAAAAGACAGAGGCTGGATCAGTAGCCATGCTGAGGTTGGCATCTGACTGGCAGAAGCAGTACAAATCAGCAGACAGAGGACAAAGTTGGATCACAAGCCAAGGTCTATGAATGGAGATAGTGTAGGTGGGACCAAGAGCTCAATCACTGGAGATGAGAGAACACACATGGAGGCCAAATAGTGCAGAAAAGTATATTAACGTGAGAGTTCAGAGAAGGTAGTACAAAGTCTGTATACACAGCCGCAGCAGCCCAGCAGCACTTACAGAGAGCTGTACAGAGGATACCTGTATACACTGTTAATACCCAACAGCATCTGACAAAGGAAGTGGCTGGAAGGCTGATTGGCAATGAGGCATCTTAAGGAGGGAGGGCTCCTGACCGAGACAAAAGATAACAGTCCTTAGTCTGTCCCTCCTCCACTGGAACCTCTCCCTACATTAGACACTCAGTCCATGACCATCGGGGTTCCTGTCCCTGACCTAGCTACTTTGCAAATTCAAATCAACGAAAGAGGGACAGTGCTATTTATTACCACTGCCCACACCAAAGATGGCCGCTGAGGCCATCCAGCGTAGCAGCCTGCAATCGGACAGCTGCTCTCCTGATGATAGCTATGGAGGACTCAGAGGAACATGGGTTCCCCTCGCTCTCTGATCTCTCTACATGGCGGCTGCCTAACAGCACCATCTATGAGGGAGGCCAAACTACACCTCCCTACAATCCTGATCAGATGGAGTCAGAAGGCAAGCAGGGTCAACGCACAGAAGAAGCAGGAAGTGGGTCTAGTCAAGGATCACAGAAGCTGACAACCACTTAAGAACTCTCCTAAATTCTGTTATGCCTTAAAAAGGTAAATAGGCATCAAGACACCATTGACAAATGTGTATGTTTATTCACACTAATGTGCATGCACATTAGCAACAAGCTGTACTAAGCACAGAAGCATATCATCGGGCATGGCCACATACACGCTCTTCCTGACATACACTGTGCTTTCTGCATATCTTCAAGCATGGCCATGTACACAATCTTCCTGACATTCTCCTTTCACTCATTGCTCATCAGGTTGGGGGTGGAGAGGAGTCACTGAACTGCAGAAGAGAAACGTCAGGTCTTCTGCCCTGCCAAGCAGGACTGTGATGTGTGGCAGAGCTGTATACATCTTAGGACTGGATGGACACAAATACAACTCTCCATATAAGGGACAAATACACTGCTCAAAAAAAATTTAATTAGAGTATAGCATTAAGTCAATTAAGTAGCAGAGGGGGTTGTTAATCAGTTTCAGCTGCTTTGGTGTTAATGAAATTAACAACAGGTACACTAGATGGGCAACAATGAGACGAACCCCAAAACAGGAATGGTTTTACAGGTGGGGGCCACTGACGTTGTTTTCTCTACTTATCTTTTCTGACTGTTTTTCACTAATTTTGCATTTGGCTAGGGTCAGTGTCACTACTGGTAGCATAAGGTGATACCTGGACCCTACAGAGGTTGCAGAGGCAGTCCTACTCCTCCAGGATGTCAATACATGCCATTGCCAGAAGGTTTGTTATATCTTACAGTACATTCTCAAAAGCATGGAGGAGATTCCAGGAGACAGGCAGTTACTCTAGGAGAGCTGGACAGGGCCGTAGAAGGTCCTTAACCCATCAGCAGGACTGGTATCTGCTCCTTTGTGCAAGGAGGAACAGGATGAGCACTGCCAGAGCCCTACAAAATGACCTACAGCAGGCCACTGGTGTGAATGTCTCTGACCAAACAATCAGAGACAGACTTCATGAGGGTGACCTCAGGGCCCGGTGTCCTCTAGTGGACCCTGTGCTCACTGCCTGGCACCATAGAGCTCAATTGGCATTTGTCATTGAACACCAGAATTGGCAGGTCTGCCACTGGTGCCCTGTGCTTTTCACAGATGAGAGCAAGTTCACCCTGAGCACATGTGACAGACATGAAAGGGTCTGGAGAAGCCGTGCAGAACGTTATGCTGCCGGTAACATCATTCAGCATGACCGTTTTGGTGGTGTGTCATTGAAGGTCTGGGGAGGCATATCCATGGAGGGACGCACAGATCTCTACAGGCTAGACAATGGCCCCCTGACTGCCATTAGGTATCAGGATGAAATCCTTGGACCCATTGTCAGATCCTACGCTGGTGCAGTGGGTCCTGGTTTCCTCCTGGTGCATGACAATGCCTGGCCTCATGTGGTGAGAGTATGCAGGCAGTTCCTGGAGGATGAAGGGATTGATACCATTGAATGGCCCCCCACGCTCGCCTGACCTACATTCAATAGAACACCTCTGAGATATCATGTTTCAATCCATCCGACGAAGCCAGTTTGCACCTTAGACTGTCCAGAAGCTCAGTGATGCCCTGGTCCAGATGTGGGAGGAAATACCCCAGGACACCATCCGTCATATCATTAAGAGCATGCCCCAAACGCATGCATACAAGCACGTGGGGGCCATACAAACTACTGAGTACCATTTTGGTTGCTGCAATGAAATTTCAGCAAAATGGACTAGCTTGCTGCATCATTTTTTCTTTTTGATTTTCAGGGTGTCTTTGAATTCAGTCCTCTGTAGGTTCATAATTTTAATTTCCACTGAACGATGGGGCATCCTTACTTTCCCAACACATTACCCAGTCCATATCAGTATAGACATCCAGCAGATTTTTCCCCATTGAGATCTGATGTGTTTTCAAAGTGTTCCTTTCATTTATTTTGAGCAGTGTACATGTAAAGGCTTACCAATGTACACAGCAGTATACAATAAAAAAAAAATCAAAATCAAAAAGTAACCAAATAATCAAAAGATTATTTAAAAAATACTAAATGAATTGCATTATTTGATATACCCTGCTAATAGGTTAAGAAGGCTAAGATTATTAGCATATCCTAGCTGTGTGTGGCAAAAAAATCTTTAGCATCTGCTAAACAGTCAATATTGTAGAAAAATCTTGCATCTCTTGAACATTTCTGTGCTTCTTTCAATGATGTACATCTGAGTAGAGAGGATATTGCCTGCCTGCTAGAGCTCAGAAATGCTGTGAAAATTATTGACTTTGAGAAGAGAGGGCTACAGATAAATAGGTACAACTTGTGTACAGGATTGGCTTCATTGTTTTACCAGAGACTAGTCGCTTCAGTGGGTACATATAAGGGTTTACAAACACTTTAAGACGGAGTGTTCTTTTAAGGCTTTATCCCTTTTTTTTTACACATTTGTCACAATCTTTTTTTTTTTTTTTTACTTAATGCTTTCTATTCCATAATTTCGGCAGTTATGATAAGCTGATAGGAAGCCTGTTCTAATGTATTTCAGTTAGGAAGATTCACTAGGAAGAAATTGGTTTTGCTATACACATGATGTGAAACAATCAATAGTACTTTAGTCTGACAGGCTCTGTCAATAACCATTGTTACAGTTCACAAAGTCGTTAATGGATAGTTCGTCCAAAAACCAATGCTTTCAACACATGTTAAAAGTGCTCAAATGTACCCTGGCAGGAATTAATTATAGGTAAACCCATGGGATAATATACAAATGTATTTTATATAAATTGAGAGTGAAATAAGTCAGGAGAAGGCCTGAATTCTCCCATGAGTAATTGAATAAGAGCAGTTGATAAGAACACCTCACGTTCATTTTGATTCTGAATAATATGGTTTACTAATGGGAAAGTTGCTCACGCATTTGGATTTAATGTTGAGAAGAGATGCACAGACTCTCAAGTAGATTTCATCTACTGCCCTAAAGAAGGTTGATGTAACACTTCACTGGATGATATTTACTTTGCTAAAGCACTGTGTATCAATTGGTTTTATTTAACTAATGAAATACTGCATTAGTCACCGATCACACCGTTGCAATTTAAAATTGCGCACTTTGTGTGCAATTTCAGTGCGATTTCTGAAGACTTTATTGCTACTTGTGAAGATTTTTAATGATTTCTTGCAATTTGCAGTGCGATTTCCATTATATTCTCTGTATGGGAAATAGCAACAAAACCGCAGAAAAAGTAACGCACAAACTACTTTAGAAATCGCGCTGCAGCAAATCGCACATGTTAAGGCACTGACTTTCATATTCATTGAACGCGATTTCAGGTGCGATTTGATTTTGCAAATCACACCTGAAATGTGACCGGGCACTTAGGTGTCCGTTTATGAACCAGCGGTAATAGATCGCTGCTCAGTTCTCCGGCATTCTCGAAGAACACAGTTCTCCTGTGAATGCAGTTTATGAAGCAGTTCTCCAAACGAAGGGAGAACGGTCTCCAAACGCTGGAGAACGGTCTACAAACTCTGGAAAACGGCTGATTTTACTATAATCTCGCGAGATTACAGTAAACGATCAGTTTACTAAACAGAGGTAAGTTATCTCTGCTTAGTTTGTGGTCCCTCTGATTCTCCAGCTCTGGACTGGAGAATCTTGGAGGGAGAACACAGATCTCCAGAGAAGGGCTGACATGATCTCCTGAGTGTTATAAACTGTGAATGACCAGAGAATAGCTGAGATCTGTTGAATCGCAGCTATTCTCTGTGTCATAAACGGACACCTTAGTACGTTAATACTTTATGCCTTGATCGCCGCAGCTAAATGCATTGCATGCAGTTTCGGGGCCCTTGCAGAGTGGTCTTATTTGCTTTAATGGGTCACAGAGGTATAATTCTAGCCACAGCACTTCTTCACCCCCAGCGCCTCCTTCTGTGACCAAAGGGGGAGCGGTTGGGGAGGGGGGGTAAAAACTCAGCTCAAGCAGTGGAGTTTATTGTCCTTAACTGCTAGTGCTAGAGCCCTTAGTTTACTGATAGTGACAGCGCAGTGGACCATGCCTCAGTAATATCTGCTGAAATGGCCACTTGGAAGCCTGTGTGACAGGGTGGCAACACATGAACAATGAGGACACCAAGACAGTTCGTTGTCACCCTATAAAAGTAATTACATGGACAAAGGACTTTAATGGCAGGAATATTATTTTAATGAAAGATGTAAACTTACAAATATTAAACTTTATATAATATGAGTCCTCTACGTAAAGTGAGGCTCTGGTCTTTCGCACAAATACCTTTGGTGTTTCCTACTTTGGTGCCTACTTATAAGGTTCCATGCTGTGCCTTTCAATTTAAAGTGATTCTAAAGGCAATATTTTTTAAATCAACAAACATGTCATACTTACCTGTTCTGTGCACTAGTTTTGCACAGAGCAGCCCTGATCCTTCTCTACTAGGGTCCTTCGCTGGCACTCCTGGATCCTCCCCCTGCCAAGTGCCCCCAGTTACTATGGGGGCACTCTTGCATTCTCACTCCTGAGCCTGCTCTGTATGTCCATTGACACACACAGAGCGCAGCGTGGCCCTGTTTCCTGCCCCCTCCTCATATGCTGTGAATGACAGCAGCAGGAGTCAATGGCTCCTGCCTCTCTGTCCAGTGAGGAGAGGGAGAGCCAAGAGAGCTGCTGCTCTTGTGCACTTTACTAGATTGAGACATGGCTCAAGTAAGTAAAGAAGGGGGCTGGGAGCTTCAGGCAGAAGGTTTTTTTACCATAATGCAAAGAAAGCATTAAAGTGTTACTAAACCCAGGATCCTGCATTCACTATATCTGGTCTCCCCAGACCCTGCCACAGTATCTGGTCTCCCACAGAACAGAACGAAAATGCAATTATTGTAGTAAATATAAACTGCTAAATACCTTTTCTCATCAGCAGTTAGAGCAGTCTTGTGACTTCTATCAGTGTCCAGCAGAGCACTGGTTAAAGCTTGTAGGAGGAGTTTTCTTTTCTGCTTCAGGAGGATGCAGACCCCCTGACCTCTGCCTGGACAGTGCTGATTGGCCCTGTGCTGATCACATGCACTCTCCCAAGAAAGAAAAAAAAAAACCTCTCTAGCAATACACACCAAACTGAGCATGTGCAGAGTGTCTCCACACAGTATGTCTTATCAGGAAATAGGAGGGGGACATTGGAAGAAGGGGAGGATCAGAGAAGTCAGGATCAAACAGCATTTTTATACAATGCAGAGGATTAACCCCTTAGGTTCCACAGTGAGTATAACAAGCATGCTTTACTGGATATACAGACTGATTTTACTGTTGTGGGTTTAGTAACACTTTAACCTAAAAAAACTCTTACCTTTAGAACCACTTTAATAAACATCCACCAATGTTTGAGATATCACCAAGGACTTGTATTTTGTAAACTTTCTTTAACAGGATCAGGAACGGTCCAAGGATTGGTGCAGTGCAGGATCATTTTATGTGTTACAAATATTGAACATGACTTTAATTGGTAAAGCTTATATGGGGGCCTCTTGTTTTGTTAAAAACAACATAATTTAAAGTAACACTAGGGTCTTTGTTTAAATCCCAACCACGGCACTACTTGCCTGGAGTTTGCATGTTCTCCTCGTGCCTGTGTGAGTTTCCTCCGGGTACTCCGGTTTCCTCCCCGTTGGTAGGTTAATTGACTCCTTGGCTAGTATGTGTATGAATGAATGTGAATTAGAGGACCTTAGACTGTAAGCTACTTGAGGGCAGGGACTGATGTGAATGCACAATATACTGTACATGTAATGAGCTGCGTAAATTGTCAGCGCTATATAAGTACCTGTAATAAATAAATAAATAATACGTCTAATCTGCTTATATTTTGCCTACCCTGGTTCCCCCAATTTTCTCCCCCATCAACATGCTAATACATGATTTTTTTTTCTTTACATACCTTATTTTAGACTAAGCAACCTCATCACTTGTTCTCTGTGCCTCTCTATACAGCTCAGATATATCATGGCTGGTAAGAGGGGCCAGCATGGACTTGTACGTAGCTTCCTGAAAACCAAAAAAAACCCAAGCTTAAAGCCTAGCCTCCATAATTCAAAATGCATGAGTGGACTGGAGCAGGGCAGGTTTTAGATAATAAGACTGGGGAGGAAAATGCAAGATGATGCAGAATGATCCTTACACAGGAAAAGCATGTCCAAAAAATAAAGTATCTTCATGTGCATTGTGTTGCATTGGCAGTACATTGTAGATTAATGGGCTGCCTTAAGGTGGCTATAAACCTTTACATATACCGAGTGAAGGGACTGGCCTCAGGTGGTGCACGGAGATGATACAGCTCTTCCTACATAAGTTGTGAGAAAAAAAAAAATGTCTGTGGTATATAGGCATGTGGTCAGCAGGTGCTTCTTTAGCTCTGAGGAAGGGGGTTCAGCTCCCGAAACGCGTCAGCTTATCCGCACATTAGACACAGCCATTTGTGACTGTTGTTGTGGACCACACACACTGTTTTTATCGTTGGTTTGTGAGTATATATCTACTTGTCTATTCATTAAACACGTGGTATACCACAGTAATGCACGATGAGAGTGCGCCCTTGTTTGTTTTTTCTTTCAGTGGTTTAGATTTCCCGATCTTTGAAGGGCAGCACCTCTTCGTTTGGCATTCTGATATTTTTCTGGTTTGCATGAGGATTGGAGCGCTTGTTTCGTTTGTTTATTTTTGAAGTGCATCTACATAAGTTGTAGCTGTTTATCTGAGCCTCTCTTCTCTACATCCATTCATAGTCCAGCATTTACAAAGCATTTCTGAGCTCTAGCAAGCACGGGGAAGAGTTCTGATGTCCCACATTGCACAGCATAGAGCAGGGAACTGAGTGTATTCTGAGACTTGAGGGGAGGTAATGGACACTCTCCATCTACACAGTCTCATAGGGAAAAATACATAGCTGAAGCTGTCAATCACCTGTTGTGTGCTGGACGGGCGGGTGCTTCTCCCAAGATTGTACACACATCAAAGGCTATTTCTGAGCCTCCAGCAGGCAGGGGGTGGGGATCTGATTTCAAACACTGCACAGAATAAAGCACGAAGCTGAGTGTAATCTGAAACCTGAGTGGAGGGAATGAACACACACCCCTCTATACAGTCTCATAGGGAAACATGATCAGACTGTCAGTCACATACTGTGTGTTGAGGAGAGAGGGATTTCTAGGTGTCAAGATTACCTGCCAGAAGTGACTCATAAAGACAATAGAGGAATGAGAGTGCAGACACAATTCACACTAGGTGGTTTGGATTGAGAAGAATATGCTTTGTTCATTTTTAATTTCAGAGGTTTACAACCACTTTAACCCAACACACTTTAACACATCAGAGCAATCTACGTGGGTCCAAAGACAGGACAGATGGATCTGGAATGTACAAAAGCTGGCTATAGAAGTTATTTACCAAAACCGAAGAGTGTAAAATCTGGTGCAACTCTGCATAGAAACCAATCTTCCAGGTCTTATTGCCAAAGCTTGATTGAACAAGCTGAAGTTAGGTGCTGATTGGCCACCATGCACAGCTGAACCAGATTCTGAGTGCACCAGTTTTAATAAATCTCCCCCATTGCACAGAGAGCCAGAGACAAATCTTGAAAACCTGAGAAAATCGAGCAAAACCGGCACAGAGGATATTGTTAGATTTTACAGCCAATAATTCTCTTATCACCATCTACTACCGCCCACTATTTGATTAAAAATGATGACAACTGTAGTCTTTGTTTTCACTGGGAAGATATTATAATATTTGCTTCTTGCCTTTTCCAGTAGAAGTGTTTTTTTTTTTTTTTTTTGCAGGCGATTACAAGTTCAGGGGAAGTATCTGTAAGGTCAGCTGGTGTTGTGGGAAAAAGAAGACGCGTTCTATTAAATTCAGTAGTAAAACGACAGGAGAATGCTCCTCTTATTATCATGGGCATGTGTTTATATTTTACTTTCCTTAATTGGCTATCTTTTATTTACTTTAAATGAACAATTTGGCAAGTTTAGCTCCCTTGATATCAGCGAGGCACAAAGTGTGTTAGAAGTTTGGATTATAAAGTCATACGTCCAAGGCTGCAAATCCAAACATCCCCCAGATACTTGAGAAATAATTGGCTAATGTAAATGAAAATCAGCTCGGTCAAGATACTGCTTCACTTTGTCTCTCAGGAGTGCAATGAGTTAATTTAGGCTGTTTATTTAAATACCTGCAAATATGTGAGATGAACATATTGCTCTGGATTTTCAACGTTGCCTTAAAGGATCAGTCCACTCAAAACCAATGCTTCCTTCTGGGATAGATATCAGCGTTGAAACTCTTGACGGTTTGTAGGGATGGGAGTGAAATTGGAAGTTTCTGCTTTATTGAAATTTTAGCGAAAACGGGAACATTTTGGAAAAATTTCACCAATCTGTGAAATGTATGGGGCAAAAAAGAAATTAAGGAGGTTTGGGTGACTTTGAAAGGTCCAATGAACTTTAATTGGATCTTAAAGGTTAGGAAAGTTTCATTCAACTATTTTGAACTTGTTCTTGTTAAAAAAAAAATGCTAACCCTATTGGTACCCAAATGATAAGCCATAAACAATGTCATGTAATCGCCATCTTAGCATTGCCATGTGGATGAGATCTAAGGGCTAGGTCACAGCAGCCCCACTGGGCTGCATTGGGCAGTGTTGTCCAACACAGCCCCAGTGCAAAGAGCCTTGCACTGTACAGGGCCCCTTCACATCAATGTGCTGCATTAGTGTGTGTTGTGATACAATGTTGCAGCATTGTTTTATCGTAGTGCATTAAAATGCGTTGCAATACTTTGCAACGTGCTGTAGCACAAATAATTTACATTGATGTTAAAAAGAGAAGAGAAAAACAGCACTGCACTGCCATAGAGTGTGATGGGAACCAGACTTAACAGCTAGGAGAAAACTAGAGCACCTCTCCTTAACGGGAACTTTTTTTATTAAAGCATACCAAACCCAAAACCAAAAATATAATATATTGTAGGTTACTGGTAAGATATAATATGCTAAATTTTTGTTTTGGGGTTTAGATGCATTTTGAGCTAATTATACCTAACAATGCTGCATTTACTCAACATTTTATACCCAAAGTCTAGAGCCTTTGGGAAGAAGTACATAGGTGCAAATCTGACTTGCTTGAACCTTTGAAGATGACACAAGACACTAGATTGGAGAAAAAGAAACACATTGGTTCACTTATCCATTATTTTTAGTAAGTAGGGCTATTAGAAAGTTCCTTTTAATACGTTTATCAGAGCTACATCCCTTTGTGCTTTGATGGGCAAAATAGAGAACTATTTGACATCAGTTTAAAGTATAACTAAAGGCAAATTTTTTTGTTAGGTTTGGATAGAATGGAGATGGACTAGAACAGTTTTTATTGCTGTCTGTGCCCCCATTAGGGAGATTCACCCTCTCTATTGGAAAATTATCCAATGGGGATACTATTTCTGGTGATCTGAGGGTCTCCAAGGAATTCCCTTAATTCCTTGGAGATATCCAATGGGGATATCATTTCTGGTGATCTAAGGGTCATCAAGGAATTCCCTTAATTTGCAGGGATTTTCTCATTTCTTGGTTTTGGCTATGGGAGAGGAAGTGAAAGTAAATCTCCCCAATGAGACACAGATGGAAAAAATAAACTGACAAATCTTCCCTTACTCTGTCCAAAATTAATTTAAAAAGTTTTGCCTAAAGTTCTACTTTAAGATGTTTCTGAGACCTTGTGTCAATGGGGAACCCCAGAAGAGGATCGGGGCTGTTCTGTGCAAAGCCATTTCATAGAGCAGGTAAGTGTAGCACGTTTGCTATTTAAAAAAAAAAGATCCCTTACAATCACTTTAAAGATTTTAAAATATTGTTTAAAATGAAGAGAAAATAAAAATGGTGCAATAAAATATCTACACAAAAGATATTGCAAAAGAGACAATAAACAACCATAAAATAAATGGGGTTAAATGTGAAAAGTACTTAGCAAAGTTAGCAAATTCTTTGGATTCTAAAGACAGCCATTTATTTGTATAGAGTAGTCTGATCTTTTAGAATAACTGGCTCTCAAAATGACTCAACATTTATTCATAGTTCAAATGGGAGTCCAGAGCTCCAGATGCTAATAGCAGCAACTTTTTATTGAACCTCTAGGTCGTTGCTCAGCAAACTACTACAGATACTCTGTTAGTGCCAGTTATTTGAACAATATCAATATTTCCAGATCACACGGTTTACAGTCCAACAAAAAAACATATTATTAAGTAGAATAAAT